TGCCAAGGACGTGCTGACTGCGGTGAAGTGGGTGCGCTCAAACAAAACGTTGCCAATATCCATGTGCAGTGTTGCAACTGGGCGGCACTGTACGGCATGACGTCACTAGTCGGCTGAGGCGGGCAAAATCGGCTCCGGTAGCCCTCTATCGGGCAATATCCAAACGATTACGTAAAGGGTTGCGAGGAAGTGGGACAGTATCCCAACCCGTGGACTCACGCATGCTGAACTATATGAGCACTGGACGCTGCGAGCCTGGACTTTATGATTCTCCTTTGTTCAACAGGTTTTGGGCGATTTCTGGACGTTTTGAACGCTGGACGTTTTGACCACGGGACTTTATGAACTCTAGACGTTTCAATACGCATCCGCCACGGACTGTTGAGGATGTCAATACCAAACTGTCGACCTGTCTTTACCTGTACTGCTGTAGTCGTGACATTGATATCTTCTGATATACCCAGTATTTGAATTCTTTGTTATTGGGAACCGGAAGTGCAGTCACATGCAAAAATTAACAATGAATCTGTAATAATGCTATGAATTGATCACCAAATCATCGTCCTTGCCACGTTAAAGATGATGAGGCTGAGCCACCGAGCATGTTTTTCTTGCATAGGATTATTTACGCAACCACCAGTTATCCCTGACGAAATCATTGTGATGCAATGGCATTCTGGCCGACAATAGTCCTTTGGCAGTGTTAAATCAGCTTTTACCAGCCATTCATAAAATATGAACTGTTTTCTCAAAGGCTTGACATAGAGCAATCAACCAATGTGGTACATTGTGAAATAGCACTGGTCAACAGTGCCATTGTGGTCTACTTCAGTGTTGTACTGTGGCATGGCATAACTAACAATGATATGGTTTTTGTACTGCAATCCCCCGCTACTTTCATAATAAATTCCATCATGGGAAGATGGATCAAACGTGCATTCTTGTATTAACTCTGCGTCTGACATATGACTAGCCAAAAACACAGATACAATATACAAATCACTTTCAGCAAAGCACACAACCAATAAGTGACTTCACTTGTTCAACATGTTTTGTGAATCCACGAAATGTGGGTAACAAAGACGGGGCCACATCTTTGGCGAGGCACATTCTGCATCCAATGATAATGAGAACCAACATTTCACTCCCAACTAATGTAAATTCCACCAGGGGCATCCGTCCTCAATGGACAATCCTAACGCCCACCAGGGCGAGCAAAGCAGGGCTAGATATTCATGACAAATGTAAACTGCTGGAATCGGCGTAACGGGTGCGGCTGTCCGCCAGGCTCTCTCGACTCTCGTCCGGCCGATGTCGGTGGTGCACAGTTGGGTGAACCACACTGGAGCGCTCCGACGGACCAGTGATGGTGAACTGCATACGCCTGTCCGCGATGGTCTCCAGGAGCGGGCGCATGTGCGGGAAGGTACTCGATACCTTCACTGGCCGTAGGATGCACTGGTCGGAGATACGACTGTAGACGCGAGACGTTCTGGAAACAATGCAACAAAGTTGAGTCTTAACTATTCGCATTGGCATCCATCACTATGGCCTTTCGTTGCTGACAACATGTTTCCCAGAAAAGGATACTTCTGGCAAAACACAAAGTAAAAACAAACGTATACACCATATTGCAGAAAACAACTTTCGCCTATTGGTCACACCAAGCCGCCACATGATGACGTTCTGTAACTTTGTTCAAACCATTTTCCATCTATGAATTTCTGGTATTTCTGGTAATTTCCATGCATGAATTTCTGGTATTTCTGGTAATTTCCATGCATGAATTTGTGTCCAAAATAACAGAGCCTGGTATACGCATTGAGCACATCTGATTGTAGGTGTTAGGTTGGGGGAAGAATATATGACGCTCCTTCCTGTGCTACATTGCTCGGCAGAGTCCATCCCGCCCTCTGACATCAGCTGGCTTTGAGCGGCCACTGCCACCGGATGCAGGCCATCCTAGCCATGGGCAAAATAGCGAGCAACGCAGCTGTTCCCGCTCGCCCATCGCCGAGCGTACTAAGGCAAACATACAAACTGAGGCGGGACAAATTTACTGAGAGTCAACGCCAGGTACATAACATTGATTGCAGTTTTTAAAGGGTTCTCTATGTAGTCATAATTTTCTGCTCGTTCTGGGAAAATGAAATAAGAACTTTCTTGGTTGAGCCCAATCTCTTTAAGCGCGCGACGATGCCGTATGTAGTTAAATACTGCTTTTTACATGATTACAAGACTGCCAACTGTTTCCTCACTACCAGCCACTATCCTGAACACCACAGATAGTCAAACCCAAGACTACACATTGCTGTCAGTCTTGCCCGAAGGAAGCCGCCGGTGGCGCCGCGCTGCCGCCCTCCGCCGTCTCCGTCCGCGCCTAGCGCCTGAGGACGGCCGCCGGTGGCGCCGCGGTCGCCCTCAGTCAGCGCCCAGTGCCTGAGGACGGCCGCCCGTGGCGCCGCGGTCGCCCTCAGCGCCCAGTGCCCGAGGGCAGCGGCCGGTGGCGCCGCGCGGTGTCCGTCCGCTCCCAACGGTCACCGGGTGCTCCAACATATACTTCTTGAAGGAGAAGTAGGTGCCAACGAAAGTGAGAGGCACGGACACGCCAAACCAGAGCCCGATCAGCGTCAGTATGGTGAGGAATGGCAGCGCTGCCGGCGAGTCGTACGCCCACGGCACGTAGTTCAGCAACAGCGTGATGCTGAACACGATCGTGTGGACGGGCGGCAGGTGAGGGCTCAGTGGGAGCACCATCGATGCACTTCACAGCGGTTCCTTCCGCATTGTGCGCAGCATGGTCATGGCCACCATGCTGGAGTGGGAAAGCACGATCACCAGCGAGCTCAGAATGGAGAATCACTGGATGTTGGCGTTCGGCTGGTGCGGTCAACGGCGTGGTCTACCAGCGGACAATGAACAAACACGGCCTACTGGAGCACGACAGACGGGCGCGGTCAGTCGCGTCAGATCGAAGATGACATAGATTTAGTGATGTAGATGTAGTAGAGAGTAGAGTAGACGTAGATGATGTAGAATTAGACGAAGATTGCGGGTGTATTGGATTATGACCAGGTGGCCAACTCACGTGGAAGACGACGGGGTGGTTTTACCGGTCCTTAATGATAATTAATATTCCAAAAAAGTCTAAAATTCTAAAAGTTTTAAACCTTTCTTGAAATCTAAAATTCAAGTTATGCTGGTCCTTGACACTTACTTGAAAATGTTAAAACAAAGTTCTTCCCATATTTCACACTGGTTATGGGTAGGGAATTTGGGGTGTTTGTTTATGTTTATGTCTATGTTTATGTTTATGTCAATGTTTATGTTTATGTCAATGTTTATGTGTAGGTGTTTGTCATTGCTCACATTGGGCCGCACAGTGGCAGAAATGTGATCCCTGTATACTCAGTCTGTGAAAACCCATCAACTGTGTCATGCCCACTTCACGCCACACCCACCTAACATCAACATCTGTGTGCCAAAGCTGCTACCATGTGCCATATTTGTGCCCAGAAAATTGCTTCCAATCCATACAGTGTGTATTTTGGTACAGCAACAAAAAATTACATAAACAATAGTACTTCAAAAATTGGGGCAAGTATAAGCCAACTCCTAGTACTCAATTCATTACAAAAATCGTTGTTGCCATGGTGTCGGAAATGTTAGCAAGTTGTGTATGCTCTCAAAGTCTGGCTATCACATGCCAATGACTTAAAATCACTAGCCTGCAAAGCCTTATGCGATATAGAATTCACGACAAAAGATAACACTGCATCCGGAGGCCAGCAAACTAAAGTCACGTCAACATGCGCCTACTTTTCAATGGCTTATGGTTAATTTTTTAAGGCATTTTAGCCGGAACTTGAATCATGGTATACATTGGTACCGGGCATTGCAATACTGAATTGTTCACCAGCTGATGTTTTTTAAAGATATGACACCATAGATGACTATAAAGCAGGTGCCTTTCATGGACGACTTATCACCTTACCGACAAATATAGCAATTACATCAATGGCAGACGTCAATCAAACGTCAGTATATCCCACTGATGGCACTGATCCTAACAGGACATGGGTTGCAGGGGAATGAGTGGGGAGGTTTGACAGAGGACAATGGTATGGTTAGGCTGTCATTGCATTGCTTGCTGTCATTCAATATGAAAATTCGAGACCATACAAATTTCAGACAACTAGTGAGACCGTTTGACATTAATAGCGCACCTTGTCATTATGGCGACCAGTTGTCGATGCATGTCTACAACCACACATGTCTTGCACCTTAACCAGACACTGGCTTCAATTGGCATCAGTTACCAATGAAGCTCGCTACATGGTGGACAGGCCAATAGGAATGGTGCAAACTTGCCTGGTCTTCATCATGGTTCTCTTAACATATTGTGTCCTCTATTTCTGCCTGTTTTTCCTTATCCTTGAAGGTGAAGAGCTGTGAACCCACAACGCATAATACAGTGAGGCATATGTGACGCAAAACATTGAAACATCAACGAAACCGTAATATTTTTTTTGTAAGATACCACTATGGCATGTCTTGCAATCGCGTCAAAAATTTCCGTTCGGTTGGCAGGGCATTCATTGCACGTGTTCTGACACCAAAAAATGCTCCTAGCTTTTGCGGCTCCTGAGCAGCAGCGATTATACGAGGAGCACTGCACGGCTATCTGCGGCTGGGCGGGCGGTGGGCGGCGACCGAAGATGCTGCGGAACGCGCGCGGCGGGCCGACATTGTTACAGTCATGTAACTATTTATAACAAATGTATGCTAAAAACACAAAAACATAACATTTTTCTCAGCATGGAAACAAGAAAAACGCCAGTTTAAGGTCTTGTGTCGCCAAAAAGGTGACACCATGTGGAAAATTCTCCTATGTACTATGGGGTAAAGCTGAAAAATGCGATTGTCATGAAAATGTGTCCTTTCACCTGGCATACTGGGATCAATTAATGACCTTAACACATACAAACTAATACGAAGTGAGAGATATCGTTGAGAGCAGCTCGCTGGCATTTTCCGTTGAATTATTCTTGAAATCTGCATTTCTTTTGAAACACCCGGGGAGGGGATCCTCGTCCCCCTATCAGACTGTGTTATGCGGAGTGGCGAACTCGAGCGATGACAGTGAGACATGAGCCTTTGCAAGGGAATATTTATTATCCATAGTGAGCCTTCAAGCTCAAGAATACTTCACACAGGCGGGTTTACCCTGGTAAATTCGGCAGGTAAATCCCGGTAAGCATACGCGGCTCTTACAGGTGGACCCGGTGACGACCTCACAGCGGGGCCTGGGCGGACCCGCCACGCACCGCTGCCCGTGGGGACAGACCACGTGACCACAGGTACTGGTGCACGCGGCGATCGGCGGGCAGGGGGCTCGCTTGCACACCACCTTCTTCAACACGCACACGGCGTTGTTCGGACAGCCCGGAGTGCAGGCGGGCACGCAGGCGCGGCCACAGGCGCGCGCACAGCAGCGCTGGCCGTCGCCGCACGCGCCATCTGACGTGCACTTGTCCTGCCGCCTCAGGCACTTGCCGAAGAAGTTGCTGCGTGGGCACGCGCCGGGGGAAGGCTTGCGCTGGCAGACAGGCTTTCCGTCGCGCACGACGCACCTGCCCGGACAGCGTATCAGCGCGCACGGATTGTCCGTCTGCCGCCTCTGGCAGGAGGAGATGGCGCAGTTGGGTAGAGGGCAGGGGACGTCGGGGGGCAGTATGCATTGGTAGCCGCTCCGGCAGGAGTACTTGCAGGGAGGTACGCAGGTGCGTTGGCAGCCGTACCTGCAGCATTTCTGATTGCCCGGACATAAGCCGTCGCCAGAGCAGCGGTCCGTATGACTGGTCGGACACGGCCCTAAGTCGTCGAGGGGACACTGGCCCGGCTTGCGCTGCGCTTCAGCCCCCGTGCCGACCTTGACGCAGCGGGCCGGGCCCAGGGGACAGGACGGGAGCATGCAGCGGGTGCCCCCGCGAACGCACTTCTGGCCGGCGCCGCAGGCCGGGTTGCACACGGGATTGCACCTACGGCTGCAGCCGGTCTGGCAGCAGCGCTCATGTTTCGGACACTCTGCGTCGCTCGTGCAGCTGTCCACAGTGCCGCCCGGTTTGCACCTGATGAAGGCTGCCGGAAAGTCCGGACACTGGCCTGGCGTGGTTTGCGGGCACGGCGGGCAGTGACTCGGACAGGGCAGCTGAACAGACTCGCAGCACCGCTTGCAGATGTCACGGTTCGACGTGCCTGTCGTGCAAAACGCAACACTGCCAGGTGTATACAGTGCAGTTCGACAGGCACGCAGAAGAACGGATGCAGGACACACAACGGGAAACGCCTTGCGACGAAACTCCAAGTTTTGCGTCGCAGTGTCTCAATGCAAATCACTTGGGGGGCGGTCATAACTGAAACCGAGCCCATTTTTCGAAATTGTTTAACGTGTCTTTTGACAGAAGTGATGTAAACATGCATATGTCCTAGGGAGGTAGGCACAGGCTCCCTTTTCTCCCATTTATATACCTACATATATTATGCATATTTTATATGTACGCATAAATATATATATATATATATATATATATATATATATATATTCAGCCACATGATGTTCTGTAGCATTATCAATTCGTAAGCATATACCTTGAAGCGGAGTTTGTCATCCGGTGCTTTAACCAGGCTCGCGGACTTTTCACATCAAACGCAAAAAAGCGATGTAGTCAGAAATCGACCCTGAACGCCGCTATCCAGGTTCCATATTGCTGGGCCCGTTCTAAACGGTGCGGTCAGTTGCCCCGAGTATTGTGGTATTCAAGTCAGAGGGGGAAAGCTTCCCGTATATTCGGTAGGCTCAGGCCTAGCATTTACTTCTGGCAGAGGCACAATATTGTTTAATATAAAAGTTCCCTCGGACATTTAGCGCGCTGGCGAGAGTCTGAAAAATCAGACCGAGCCAGCTACCGACTCTACCGGCAGCTGGCCACAGTTACGAACCTCCGGCGTCCTTCTGAGCCTGCGCAGAGTTCAGCAGAAACAGCAGCAACGCTGCAGCTCTCGTAGCACGCGCCATGTTCGCAGTGAACGGGTCCACGCTCTGCGCGCGCCAGCTTTCCTGTGGGCCTCTGTAACGCAAGCGTGCTGAGTGACAGGCGTCCCAGCCTGACCCGGTTATGACCTTTTCGGACGGGGTGACGCGTCTGCTCGCCGACTCGGCGTCAGCGTTGGCCGCACTTCACCGGTCGGGCATGACAGCTGACATTCACACGGTAGGATCAGCTGGCGGCGCCCGTGAGTCAAAACTGGATATGGTGGCGAGCAGGGCGGTGACCGAGGCAGCGGCGTAGGAAAAGTGGATAGAAACTTCGTCCATAACCCATCATCGCGAGGCGCTTGTGACTTTACTCGAAACATGAAAATATTTCGATACAAATCATTAGGTGCTCTGTGATAACTGTAAGATGCCTCTAACGATGTGATGGGAACAAAATGATGAACATGATTGTCACCTCCACGGGCGGATTCAAGATTTCGCCAGGGGGAGGGACGCGACATTCTGGTACCCCCTGAGACTTGCTCCCTCTCCAAAACTGTCCTGATAGAAACAGCAATTTGTAAGATAATTCCCTACAGTTCAAAGTTATGCCTAGTTACCTGCACCCAGCCGAAGGTCTGAGACAACCTCGCCTGGCTGGCAAAGTTGACTTCCTCCTGGCGTCTCTAACTTTCAGACGTCGTACGAGAGAGAACAAAGGTACCGCTGTGAAAGCCTTGTCAAATAATTGAGTACGCACTTCACATTTGTGACCTTAGGTCAAATTTGAGGTCACTAGAGCCAATGAAGGAAAGAAATCATTCTGATGGATGCGGTCAAGACATATGTTAGCACGTCAAGACCGATACAGAGGGCACAGAAGTAAGCGTTAAGACTGTGAAGAGTTCATTCCGACCATTTTGGTCCCCACGGGACTTATTTCGATCATGTCACCGTTAGACATTGGTCTAATAATAGCCTACAAGACGATACTTTTCTTTCCTGTCACGGTGTGTCTGTAAAATTGTTTAATGTCTTTAATTGTTGGCAGCTGTTGGACAAAAGTATCCCAGACACCAAAAATGTCATCTAGTGCTAACCTACATGTCGGCTTAAGTCAACTTAGGTCAACTTCATGAATCATCCAACCAAAAAATAAATGCTAATCGGGTCAAAAAATCAACTGCAACAAACTCAAAAATTTGAGCTCAATATGTGTTTGCAGAATACACCTACAGAGGTAAATCATGACCTAGGTTAATTTCATCAGCTCTGTGATGTTTTATAGTCGCACATGTGAGTCAGTACTCTCCTCCTGTACACTCAGTAAAAACTACACAAAAAGACGTACAGATTTTCATTGTTTACGAAAAAAGCAGCAATTAGCGTCACCTCAGGCTAATGACCTCGCCTGTTTATGATATCTGAAAGAAGCAAACTGCAGATACTATACTGTTCTGCCACGTAAGGACATTCGAACGATGGCAAATGGTGCACAAGCAAGTTAGGTGTGGTTGCAGCTTTTATAACTTCTTCTCTGCGTTGCTTTTTTCACTGTACAAGAAGAACCGTGGGGATAATCAACTTCCCCGGGCAGGTGCGGGTTGACCATCTATTCAAGTCAAGCGACGTATGCCACCCCACATTTTTGAAAGTTACCCGAACATGTTTGACGCCCTAGAAACGTCACGCAAATACCACACCTTATTAATTATTACGTGCTCACAATCGAGCAAAATATGTACCCTGAAACTTTCGTGTTCCCATCGATTCAGCATGAAGTGTGTCACCGATAGGAGACAACTGGCTAACAGTAAGATTGAGTTCCTGATTGCATCATCGATTACGAACTGCGTTATTTAACAACTTGCTCAGACATTTGGCATGTTCTAGTTGTGACAGGTATGAGACAGAATGAAAGATTTAAGAATACCGCCGAAAGCATACTAACGTGCTAACCCAGAAAATATATTAAAACACCACGAGAAAAGGCCAAAACATATGCACATAACGCTCCTTACATAGATGTGTACGCATAGATACCAACGCCACCTATCGACGCGTAGAAATACCACAAGTGAGTCACGCCCTCCACCACAGTGGCAACCATGACACGGGCAGTTTGCATCGACTTAGGCGTTATATGAAACGTCTCAGGACGCCACCAAACAATGACATATTCAGCTCAGTCTATAGCAGGCCAATATCTTCGGCAAGTGTCTATTTTAACTACACACTTTCTTCCTCTGCGTACTGTAAAAAAGACTGCGGAGTGTGCGTGGGCGCAAAGATGGCGCTAATTTTCCTTGAGACTGGTAAATTTTTCCATCCGTTTTGTTGTCCGTACGTTGAAGATACTGATATCCAATTCCTCTTCGCGGGGAGGAATGAACGCATGATGACCCCTAGTATTTTGCCCTTCTCAAAGTGATGGTTTTGGGGCTCTTTGTGCTGTCTCTAGAATTAGGTGTGTCTCAACAATAAGGTGTATGAGAGTCAGAAAGATTTCGGTGTTTTTAGCCATGCAATATTGATCAGACCATGGTTCTATAGCTTCAGTGGCAAAACATCTACTGGTTCGCAGGATATGATTGGTGACAACAATGGACACTTTTTCAAGCTATTTGGTGACAAAATTGGGAAAATTAAAACGGATTACAGGAAATCTCAGTTCGACGGAACTCGAAGCCTAGCACTGGTCTATGGTCGCTAACGATTGCAGCGTGAGCTTGTGTAAAGCAAATGTCGAAGCAATGACGATTCGCTGAGTGAACAAGTTGAGCCACGAAGCGCTTCCAAACACAGCAATTTCAATCAGATAGGTTTTCGCAGGTGACAAAAGTGTACTGCAAGCTTTACCATATTAGTGATGACGTTGCAGATCAGTGGTTACTGAATGCTTTGTCCATTGACCCTCAGATCAGTGGTTTTCGCATTTTTTGTTTTTGTTTTCAGCAGAGGTCCACTTCGCATACTTTACAACATAACATACCAGAAAGCGAGGTTTTTAATAGTCGTAAGAATTGTGACTGGCTTCAGCGTAACAAACGTGTTTAGTCCGATACCTGGCGTTTTAAATTGTCGTGCTATTTGAGATGATTGGCTTCGAATGCTCGGCTGCGGTTGCGTAGGCTGCGATTGAGTGTAGACTGGTTGCGCTTTCGTCATGAGATCACCGGCTTGAAGGACGTGCTCGTCCATGACGTGACGTGATCGTCTAGCTAATCGGGAGTTTCTTTGGCGGTGTTTCACATTTATGTGGGGTTTTGAACTGAAATAGGCACTGCGAAGCTCATTCGGCGCAGTTCAGAGCACTGCGCTTCTCAAAACACAGATACCTTTGGTTTCCCCCAACCCCTTTACCCCTGTTCACCAACTGTAATTATCCCATGACTTCCACTGGCCGCTTCGAACAGTAATGAAAACCATGATTGTGCCGTATCAGGCGGGGGTCATTTTGGAGTTTCAGATTTTCGTTCGTGTACAGGAGGCTGACCTGAAGACGTTTTGCTAGGGAGATGAACACTGACTATAAAAACAAAAATGTACAAATGTTTAAAGTCTTGTTATGTAAAAATGGGCTACCACAACAAGTTATCTTATGCATATCGCAGTCTTTTTAAAGTTGACATTGCAAATGAAACATCCTATAAATGTCCTGAGATTTAGAATAGCTATCCTCAGTAGATCCACCGTGAGAGGGTGCGGTGCACGAGCCACGAGAACAACTATTCAATCGGTCAGGGGGACCATTTGCCTCCTTCTGCGTTCTGAGCCAACGTAAGCTCCATGAGAAAATCGTGAAGCGCGATTATAACGGTGTTCCCTGCAGTGGCAAACAGAACAGAGGGTCTTAGTATCGCACGTTACTCCACACTTCAGGACCCCGAACGCTATCTGTGTGTATCCATGCGCAATTATGATAGAAACATGCCTATGTTGTCCATTTTGTCTGGTTGTATTCGTACATCCTACTTGGACCACCCTCCGTTTACTCCGTTTACTTTAAAAAAGAAATATTTCGTCATTATGTTCGTTAGACATGTATTATAGTCTTTGTACTTGCTGGGTTCACGGCACACCCAGTGGCCACTACACGATATGGTCCGTCAGGGCTGTTAGGTGAAAGGACCCGACGGGCGCGGATCTCGACATTTGGGGGTCATTATCGGCTGACGCAGGGCGTCGTTCCTCACCTGGATATCCGACGTTGAACGAGGGGATGTAGCTCAAGTGGTAGAGCGCTCGCTTAGCATGTGAGAGGTACGGGGATCGATACCCCGCATCTCCAAATCCGGCTTTTGGATGACATGTCATGAGCATGAGAGCACGCTGAGGCTGCTTAGTTACAAGCGAGAGTGACTCCGCACGTAACACTCCAGTTAGTATGATAGTAGCTTTATAGACAAGGCTCGAAAAATTCAAACATCATGGTGCTCTCGAAACTGGCTCGATGTGGAGTTAGCCTATAATCAGAGCCGGGATGAATTTGTCATTGCACGTGTCATTGGGCCTTTATAACGAACTCAGCTGCTGATGCCATGTGGCGTCGCCTGCCTCTCACCCAGGCGGAAAGAGCGGGCATTGCGGTATCATTTCAGATGGAGGTTCAGCTGTGGACAATTGTGTGCTTCAGGCACCTTGACTTCATTGCCATTTTCGCCCTCACTGTGCAGCACTAATAGCACTACTAACTACTAACGTAGTGACATTACTTGCAAGCATTTTCTTCGCGGCTGATTAGCGGTGGCTAGAGGCCTGACCAAACGGACAGCAGCCCTCTACAATCTACGTTCTTGTGCCTACATGTTGCATACGTCAAATATGTCACCATTTTCTAAGGTACTTTACACCCATTTAAACTTTTGCAGCGTAGCTCGTAACTTAAAACGCTAAATGTAACAGACAAGGTAGAGCAAAAAGCCAAGTACGCATATCGAGCCCTTCAATCGATAGCAGGTTATATTAGGCACCCTCCTCGAAAACAGGTTTTGGTGGTGGTGTAACAAGTGGTTTTGCACCCTTCTCGCACCCAACAGTGAGCAGTGAGCGCAAGACTGCGGTTTCGATAGAGCC